AAAAAAAAAAAAAAAAAAAAAAAAAATGTGTGTGTTGTATATCAGCTTGTCAGCAAAAATGAACAAGATCTCCATCTAGTGACAATTTAAGCAACATGCAGGAATGTAATCCTTAAAAATCGAAAGATGTTATTCTATAAAATGGCCACAAACACTACTCAAGTAATTCCACTTTCACAAAGCCATTACCCCTCAACTCTTTAACAAAAATTGATCTACCACTTGTTTAACTAGAGTGAGAGTCTGTATTTCTCACTTGGGCACTAATGTGTACATACCACATAACATAAAATAAATGTTTTCTTTAACCAAAGCTGTTAAATTCTGAAGAAAATACTATTTCACCTCAGAGGCTAACATGATACAAAACAGGTGTTTATTAAAAACTGAATTGAACATAAGCTTCATATTACTTTGTCCTTGGGACCCTGCAATGAAACCATAATACAATTGAAACTAGTTTTTAACAAGGTTTGTTTTGTACTTAAATAACAAAACATTCTTGGCCCAATTTTAAAACTAAGCTACCTTTGAACAATTCAACTAACATTTATTACTCATTAGAAAAAGATTCTAATAAACTTTATAAATTCTTCAGAAATGAAAAAAAAATAGGAATTGGCATGTATCATCCCCAGGATAACACCAAAAAGACCAGATGATTCCATACACAACAGGGGAATACCATTATGTACAGAGGATTAAGTCATGGAAGAAGAGTAGGTAAAGCTCAACAGGTGTTCAAGAATAGGGTAATGGGGCCCCGCCAGGGAGAACCGAGATCTGCGGAGACCACACACCCTGCAGTGCCAGCACGCAACTGAGAAGGTAGGCCTTGCCACCACCAGACTCCATCCCCAGCCCAGCCGAGTGCGTGCCGACCAGAGGGGTGCCTCCCTGGAGAGGCCCAAGACCCGAGGCGAGCATACACCCTAAAGCTCAACAGGTGTTCAAGAATAGGGTAATGGGGCCCCGCCAGGGAGAACCGAGATCTGTGGAGACCACACACCCTGCAGTGCCAGCACGCGACTGAGAAGGTAGGCCTTGCCACCACCAGACTCCATCCCCAGCCCAGCCGAGTGCATGCCGACCAGAGGGGTGCCTCCCTGGAGAGGCCCAAGACCCGAGGCGAGCATACACCTAAGGCACCAGTGGGCGACCAAGCAGACACTGAGGCTGCCATGCCAAATTGGCAGCCCCAGC